GAGAGTTTCAAGAAACGCCTTGCAGCAAAGGTGACGCTTTAGGGGTGGATGCAGATTGATCCACTGGAAGGCTGAATAGTGATGCTGGCAAGAGAGAAAAACTGTTATCTCTGCGGCTCTCTTGTTTGTTTTTACTGAAGCCTAGTTTCCCTCTCAGTGGATCCACACTGTGGGTCTGCGCCCGGCCTGCTTACTAGGCACTTTCTTTGACAATGGAACGAGTCCCTCTGGCAAATCACAAGCTCTTCTGAACTGCAACTTTGTACATATTTGTTGCCATGAATGGGGTTATGGAAGGTATATGATGCGTTCTCCAATAGGGATGGGACGGTTTCTGAAAACCGTCTGAACCGTTCGGTTCGACTGTCTCGGTTCGGTTCGCGTGTGTACCGCACGGTTCATGCACTGCTCCTTTTTCTCAGAGGGAAGCGTTTACACTCCAGAGCAGAAGGGGGCGCTACTGCGCCCAAAGCCAACCACCAGTAGGAAACAAGAAGAAGAAGAGAAGCAGCGTAGCCGATAAAAATCTGACGCGCCAACAGCAGTTTCTAGGTCTGCTGTATGGACCAGTTTGCATTTAGAGGGAAGCACATGTTGGAATTAGCACTGTTTCCTCTCTAATGCCAGAATCTCACCTATTTTTAACCTAAGACTGTCACAATAATGTATCAAATGTCAGACTGCTTTTTTCTTTCAGTTTTAACTAGGGATGGGGATCGAAACCCGGTTCTATCAAGGACCCGGTTCCACTTTTTTCAAAACCCGAAAATCAATAACGTTTGGGCTTATCGATACCACTATCGAGTCTGGTCGTTTTTTTATTATTACAATAGTAATTGTGAAATCTGTGTTGTAATCGGCAGCATACAAGCTAGTTAGCTTGAAAAGTAAATAAAGTTTCAGACGTGCTGCGTGATAATGTGTTCAGATTGGCTCAGTAAAACGACAATTAGGTTATCATGATGCGTTCAAGTGTAACGTAAAGAAAAGGGAAATTGAGTTTTTGGCGAGAAACATGAGTAATACAGTTGTATATTGCTCTAATTATTTTAGAATATATAATTAAACTACTGATGCCAACATTTATTAAAAATTACATTTAATTTAAAATACAATTATTTATTTGTTAAATATTGTCGCATCGTCTTTCCACCAAATAACAGAAAATTATCGATAGTGGTATCGATAAAGACTCGGATCGATAAGGAGTATCGATAAAAGTATCGATATCAATAAATATTAACGATCCCCATCCCTAGTTTTAACCTGACTATACAAGACATAATAGATTTTCCTAACAATCACCATGTACCGAACCGAACCGAAAACCGTGACCACAAAACCGTGAAACGAACCGAACCGTGGATTTTGTGAACCGTCCCACCCCTATTCTCCAAAGGGATAACATCCAGTGGAGAAACAAAAGGGCTTTGGAGCAGGCTGTTCACCACAAAGGCTGCAAAGCACTTTCCCATTGTCCGTATCAGCACCATGTGCTTTCCAGGCCACGCTGCCTGGATGTCCATCAGTCAGCTGGATTTGTTGCTGACAACTTTATAGGCTTTGCTTTAATTCTGCAAGCTATCATTTAGGCCAGCGCGTGGTTGGACACGCCTATAAAACGATGCAGCTCTATGGACTGTTTGCCTGCTTTATTGACGTTGAGAGAGAAACTGAAGGACCGTTTTCTAATGTTTTAACTGTTAAATCTGTGTTATGAAAAGGAGCTCAAACCCCACCACCATTTTACCACGAACACATAAATATTACCTTGGAACGACGTGGAAAACAGCATGTAGAAGTCACTATTCTTTCGAAAAGCTTTGGATGCCAGATATCCAAAAGCATTTTCCGTGTCCCGTGTTGGCCTCTGATCGTTCTGTTAGCTTAGAAGGAGACAAGTCAGGCAACTGACATCATTCTTAGTGTGGGGTTTACATTAAGCCTCACGATGATCAAAAGTAGAAGCTTGACAGGGCTCAAGCAAAAAAGTCATTTGGTCTTTCATTTCTAATATTTGCCTGTGAGATTAGATGAGTCGGTCTCTCTCTCATGTCACTGTAAATGTTTTGTTATGCACACCATAAGCAGGGTAACCATGAAAAATTTCCCCCCTTTTTCTTATACCTTGCAATGCCAATATTAAAAGGGGTAAGCTCCATTTCCTTTATTGGAAATAGCCATGAAACGACAAGTCAAAGAGAAAGTTTTTTAAACATCTGCTTGTCTCTTTCTCTTGTCCTGGATCTTTTTTTTTCTTACAGCGTCATAATTTGTTTTTCTTCATGTTTCCAACTTGACTCCCATTAGGAGTTCAGCCAGTGAGCATAGGTGAAGATGAGCTCATTCCCAAGAGATGGCAATTGAGATACCGACTGATTTTACCGACTAGTTGTCGGAAAAAGCTGTTTTTAAATGAATGGATTTTCAGTAAAAAAAACCACTAACCAAGAGGCGGTGACCTGAACTGAAAAAGATTTCTCCCTCTAACTGTGGCTGAAACAGTGAAATCTCTTGTGCTGAAACACAATTGCCAGTCACCTCGGAGTTGTAGAAACGGCCTTCTGTCGGTAATTTCCTGATATGTCAGCCTGGTGCACCGGCTCCTGTGGCAAACGCTTGACTTGGAAAATGAATGATTTAATGAGTTACCCTGTGCAGTCAAGAGTGTAATTGTATCAAATGATCCAGCACTCTTCTTTTACGTCACAGCCACGGTAGCTTTGTTCTAATCCCCAGAATCCTCCAGAGGTGGAAGTTTGCATTTGCAAACTTCAGAGCCTGAAGTTCCTCACATTGACGTATATGGTTCTTCATTTAAGTCAAAACAGTCATTTGCATTTGAAATCTCACCGTCAGATTGAATTAGTTGGAATAATGTGCTCCAGAGTTGAACTGCTGCGATTTGCTTTCCTGCTGATTCAGCGTTGCTTCCGATTGATTTAGATTTCCTCCTTAATTTATTTGCTTTAAAGCAGATAAATTAGACTGAGGCTGTTTAAGACTTGATGGCTGCACATTTCCACCTCTTCAGCTGAGAGCTTTCCACTGTCATCAGCAGGTGATAGCAACTAAGTAGTTGGATTGACTAAATATTGATGGAGTCCCGACAGACTTCTCAAGGATCGTCCTCCCTCTTTTTTTCCAAAGGCACTTACAGCTCAACAAATGCTTCATCACTTTATCATCTTTGTTTTAGTCCAGTCTTCGTCATCCATAATGGCTGTGTTCATTAAGTAGTGGGAGGCCGGGCGGATTCTAGCTCATAATTTAGCATGTGTCTTTTGCTCAGACAAAAATGAGGATTAAAATGAGGATTAAAAAACATCAGATATTTGAATTCATCAGGTAAACCGGTGGTCACGGCGAAAGTTGTCACCACTAATGAACTACATCATCTGAAAATGGATGTAAATTAAGTTTAAAATGTTGCTGAAAAAGAATGAAAAGCACATGTTGCATACATTTTGTGACATCTATGTGTAGTCACGGATGTGGTTGAATGGATCGGTTTGCTGCTTCAAGGTTAATTTTGCCATTTTAAAAACCAATAAGCTTTCATGATATCAGGGAAATATAATTCCTTTTTTTTTAACACAGAGGCCCTCCCTGGCACTTTCTTTTTCTTCTCAAAGGATCGGTAAATACCGGACATGGCGCCGAACGTGCTTTAGACACCGACTGCACATTTGTCTTGGGAGTTGTCGCCATATTTATTCCTGCATTTGTGGAGGAAACAACACAAAAAATAAATGAAAAAACACTGAGAACTCCTTAAGTTAGACATGGACTGTAAATGAAGAGTTGTGGATCCATCTTTTGGTATTTTGGCATCTTATTGTCAGTGGAGAAAACATAATGCCAACTAAACGATCCCGTAAGGAGGATCTGTGTTCAGTTTTGTCAGTGTGCTATATCACACCCTGTCTGATTATAAAAAGTTTAACCTAAAATCTGTTGCTTGAAAAGGGTGCCGTGTGCAGCGAGTTATGCAAAATTGTTTGTGAAGGCATGTTGCAACTTTTAGGCTCACTTTTAAAGCGAGTAATCACCTGCCTCAAATGGTGTCTGTGTAGCTCCAAATCACCTCATTAATCTGTCTGCACGACTGAAGACGTCCGACTGAGTCTACTTTCTTTTTGAGTAGAAATCAATTATACAAGGCACAGCAAGATGGGGCACACAGGAAACAATATGTGAGTGGCTGTGGTTACGCAAGCGAGTGTGTTTGTTAGATCGGTTGTCTCCTGATGAGCATGAACATTTAAATGAGGAGCTCTGTGACTTGTGTGTTTCCTCTGAATTGACAGAGGACAGTTATACAGCCGGCACACGGGACTTGTTTAGATGAGGCCTTTGTAGGTGGATTGGGTATGTTTGTCTGCGCCGGTGCTCAGGATTGTGATTTGACTCGGGGGGTGATCGCAGTCGGGCTGTTTCAGCCTAAATGAAACACCTGAGGCCAGTTTGGTCAACCTTGACGACCACTCCACAGGCATTTAGGGGAGCCATAATTAATAATAAACTGCAGTGGGTCAGTGCTACCTATTCCCAGCCATCTTTAGTTTTCAGATGTGTGATGATGATAAGATTGGAGGCTTAATTGTTGGTAACTGTTACCCTTGAGTCAATAAAATGCTAAAACAGTTGAAATTAGCCTTTTTCTGATTGGTTTTGCTTTGAAAATGATGTTAAACGAGTTTCTCTTCTATCTAAGGATGCACTTGGTCTGTCTGTCTGTCTGTCTGTCTGTCTGTCTGTCTGTCTGTCTGTCTGTCTGTCTGTCTGTCTTTCTGTCTGTCTGTCTGTCTGTCTGTCTGTCTGTCTGTCTGTCTGTCT